ACCAGAGAATATTTCGCTTTCTCTCTTACACCCATCCCTCTCCTTCTCTCCGTTCAGCTTGTTCCTTTCGCTCCTCTGCCGTATTCTCCACTCTGCCTCTCGTCTTTCTTTCTCTCCTCTCAGCTACTCTCTTACCCTCTTGTAACTTCTCTCTTTGTTTTAGAAATTAGAAGCGGATTACCGAATCCCCTTTTCAGCTGTGTGCTGTTATTAACTATTACCTTTTAGCCCTTCACCCTACCGCTCTCGAACGAGTTGTACCTGAAAATTAAATCACTTTTATGGAACTTGGTATTCTTTCTGGCCACTGTGTAACCAGGGCTGCTGTATAACGGATGAATTATCGAGGGCATAGGTTGATCATCTTTTTTTACCCGTTCGTCTAATCGACAATCGTAATTAACCGAAGACTAATATAGTCGCGTCGATAACATTGTCCTACACGTTGAATTGTTTATACGTACTCGATTCAGTAGTCGTGTAATCCTGTCCACAGTACTTGCACTGTTTCAATCGTCGTACGTGTAAACACGTTCGTAGCACTTAAAGGGTTAATTAGATCAGCGAGTCCGGGAGGCTCCGTTCATAATGGCACTAGGTACTACGGAGTTCCGTTTTCTTGCCTGAGACCCGGCTTTTTGTCGGATCCTCCGGGAACGATGCTCGTCGAGGAGCATCTTACGATTTTTCTTCTTTTTTTTCTTCTTTCTTTCTTTCTTTTCGCACGAACAAGGAACTGTACCGACGGCGACAAAGAAGGAGAAAGATGAGGCGTCCGGGTCGACGACTCTCCACCTTTCTTTCTCGTCTCGGCTTCTTCTTCTGCTCGTTCGTTGGACGAGAGTCTCTCCTCTTCCTTCGATATCTTTACCCGTACGAGACGAGACGACGAGAGAGAACAGTTTACACAGTTGGCCTGGCGAGGTTACCTAATTATTTGTTGCCCGCTGCCAATGACGAAACGTTTCCCGGCCGCCAGGTTACACCGTGTCGTTTTCCCTTTCGCCTTGCTTTTCACACCCGCGCGATTTTTCCGATACGCCGATCGTAGCTCCGGTAGCTAAAAGGAACCGTTAGGTGTTCCGTGTTTTTTTTTTCTCCTCCCCTCGATGCATGGACGGTGCAATTACTATGTTTCTGGGACCGGGCACTACTGCGAGAGGGCAGAAGGTAAGGTGGTTCGAAATGATATTCGAGAACACCATATGCCAGTGATCTCGAGGTAGTATAGTAGTGCGACAAGTACCTTTCAAGATTTACAGCGGCCATATTAATGCCAGCAAGTGCGCTGCAGGAGTCCAGGGAATAATCCCTTGGCCCTTGGTTATACGAGGTGAAATTCTCCTCGATGGACACACGTCCACGGTAATCCGTAGTTCAAGCGGGATTCCGCATTTTTTTTCCTCCAAATTTATCAACTGAATCAACGAATCGAGTGTTACGTAACTGTTTATTTGAACAACGCCGTTATTTATCTTACAACTTGACGAACATTCTCGCTATGAACGCGATGCTGATTTCTAAATTCTATGTTCTCGAGTAGGTATCGGCCTGATACGAGCACGAAATTATGTCTCAGTGATAAGGAGTTTAGATTCTAATTTTCGTAGGATTCTTTTATCTACTTCAGGTCGCTTCTCTAGTGAATATACCTCTTTTTACAGCTCAATCGACATGTATTTGACCGTGGCACATAAATGGTTAACACGCGAAATAAAAGACACAATTGTCCTAAAATTTAATTTAATTGAACACTAGTATCCCCGTAGAAAGTTGCTTTTGTTGGAGAACAATGGATCTTTTTTTTTTTTTTAATAAATGCATATAGTGGTAAAATAAAGGTTCGGAGATTGTAGGGTTCCGGACCCTTGGAATTGTAGCGTTGGGAAACTGGTAGATTCTCCTCGCCTTACCTTGAAAGGTAGTCACCTATGGGGTCAGGTACGAAAATCTCTGTAACTGTACATTGCTGGTGCCCCATTGTACTTGTAGCTTATTTTCATTCGGGTTTGGTGTGTCGGTACCTGTCAGTTTTAATTATTTTACTGCCAGCACCAGCTAACCCAGCACTTTCCGCGTTTCTTTGCACCTGACGAGACGAACCTTTCCACGAGACACGGTCATTTATTTTGACTTCGGAGTCGTTTTATTGCCGGTCCCGTCGAATTTGCGAACGGAGCATTGTGCCTAATTGAAAAAAGCGTTTGGGTCGGGTGCAAGTTCCTTGTCTTTCCCATCGACCGAGACGCATCAGGTTGTACCTGTGCTTGTACCCATTTTAAATTTACCTAGAGACTCGATCGATTCGTTCGAAACATGTTCGATGAAAAAAAAAAGATGGAACAAGGATCTCGGAGGACGAGTTTAAGAAGTTGAGGTTCGATTCGTGTATCGAGAGCCGATTTTATCCAGCAATTAGCGGTCAAAGACTCTTCTGGCCGCGATTTCGATGAAACTTTTTTTTTTTTCTTCCTCGCAGAGGTTCGTTGGCCATATCCGGATTTCGGTCGGGAAAACTGGAACTCTCGTTCGTCTGCCAAGTGGGTTAGATTGGGTCGGGTGAGGTTAGGTAATTATATACCTTCGGCCAGTCGCGTGGGTACGACACTAAAATTACTCACGAATTTCCAACTAACGAGCTCTACCTTTGGCGCCACGAGGTGTCCCGTTTGTCTCCGGCGACAGATTTTCCGAAACCGCGCCACTCTTCCGTCCGTCGAATAAAGATATTTTCACCCAGCGGGATCGGTTTAACGACGTTTCGAACGCGTTGGAATATCGTTCGACCGTTTACTTGAGCAGTAATTACTCGTTTCCCTTTCGATGCTCTTTCTCTCTCTCCTCTTCGAATATTCCGAAACGACAAACGCTTTCTTCCCGAGAAATTCTCGAAATCTTACGTATCACCTACGACCCGCGAGGTGGATGTTTTCACGCTGCATCGAGAGAATCGATGCTGCTTTTCAACGAAGTAAAGGAAAGAGAGGAATTTCGCGAAAGGGGAAAGCGACGTCCTTCCTCGGAATAATCGTTTCGTGGTCGTCCCGTGTCCCATACACGGCACGGTTGTTTCGTTTCCCGTGTACACCTTTGTCCCCCGGGCAGATCTCGCCTCGTAACAGCTTTTGTCTCCAGAAACAGAACGGCACTTTCGCGCGGTGCATTCGAGAGAAGATTTCGCGTCGCGTCGCGATGCACGCCGTCGCGTCGTTCTTGATCTCCTTCGCTCTCTTTTCGACTCAACAAGTGGACCGATGTTTTCGGCGCGGTACATAGCCGGCAGAGAGCCAGAGAATCATCCACCCACGCTAGTAGCCTCGGCTTGTCGTCGTAGTAGTCGTCGTTGTTGCTGCAAGAGTGCCGGCTTGTACGGGCAAAAACGTCGGCCCTTCGCGCTAGGGGTTGCTTCCTGTGAGCGGTGAGCAACCGGGGACGAGACGAGGGGAGCCTAAACCGAAATGCTACAGACCCAACTATATGTCGCGGGCTGAAGGGAGGGAAAGGTTCCTGCTCTCTTTCGCTCCCTCAGGGATCGGGAGAGAGACCTGCCTAGCGATGGCTTCGAATCGTTTCGATTTTTATTTTGTTCCATGGAGTATCGGGTTAGGAAAATGGGTTTATAAAATCAATCCTTTCAGCTGTTAGTAGTTGTTTATTATAGAAATAATAGTTACAATTATTTATTGAATCGTAACAGTGAACACGAGATAATTTCTTCTATCACTGATACTTAAATACTAACATATATCTTTTTTTTTCAAATATTTTAATGGTAGCTCTTTTTACAATCGCAAATTTTCGATATTACCAAAATAAAATAAATTGTTTGAAAAGTGGAAAGAAAGAAACTGGGATAGCCATTGCTAGCATCTCGCCGAGGTAGAAGTGGGGATACGTTTGACGGTGTGGTGGGGGTACGGTGTACAGTAGGGGAGGGGTGGGGCGGTCGCTTCCCCTCGCGGAGCGTCAGTCTCGTCGTGTAACCCGTACCGGAAGGAGCTTCGGTGGATGATCTCCGTCTGTTCCTTCTTCGCTCATTTTCCTCCGTTTTTTTCCAAATTTTTTCTATTTTCCAAATTCGTACGAGTCGGGTGGTAAAGGAGGGAAGAAAGTTTGTGAGATCGGTACAGTGCATCGAGTGTTCGCGTGGACTCGAGTGCGGTTTACGCGTGTGGACGATACGAAGAAAGCTTGGGTCGGAGCCGTGTGTGTCGCGAGGATTGTACGATTCGCGACACGTATATTTCCAAAGTAACGTCAAGTGGTTCCGGAGTGGACCCGAATCTCGCGGTTCTATCAAACAGGTGTTTCAAAAGTCGATCGTTAAGGAAGGACGCGTGTACGATGGTGCGGGGGCGGTCCAGTGAATCGTCGTAGTCCGTAGCGAGGTTACGCGATGCGTCCTCGTGGCACGCGGTGACGTCGGTCACTACTCCAGTGTTCTTCTTGGCCGTTAGGAAAATCGCGTGACCCTGTTTTTCCCTCTTGGTGAATCGCTCGATGACTATTCCCTCCGTTGGTGTCCAAAGGACCGATGGTGCGTGATACGTTTCCAAGGAATTCTATCATTCTCGATCACCCGTCTTTCGCCATCCGTCGCTGATATGTTTCCTCGGATTTCTACGTGACCCGGGGTGTTATCGTCGCACCAGTAGTGGAAAAAGTCTCGTAGGTAGGCAGTTCTATCGTTTTCTGGCTACGATAGAGAGCGTGGGACGCGTGTGAAACGCGTATTTCGATATTGGCCGAGGTCGATCGGCTCGAATTGATCGGACGATGAGACGGATAAACCGATCGTATCGAGACGCGATCCTCGCCGAGATTTGATAAGGGAAACGTTAAGCCGCGGTGGCTCGTTTGCGTTGCCGAAATTTGTTCGTTAGCGCAGAATGCAGTCTAACGCGATAGTGCGCGACATAGCCAGCACGGAAAAGCTGATAGGCAACAACAACAACAATCTAAACAACAACGGCTCTCCGGGCACGGACATAATGTTCCAGATGGAGGATGACAGTCTCACGCAGTTAGGAAGCGTCTTTCAATCAGCCTATCAGTCGATCGTCGGCGGTGGTGGTCAGGTAAGAGTGAAATTTACTCGAAGGAAAGAGGAACCGAGGGAAATCAACCCTGTTTCGTATCGCGAAACGATTATCCTAGAATCCCGTCGCGTTGTGTATCGAAGTTGCGTCGCTTTCGAAAGAAAGTTTCTTCGATTTCGAGCTGGTGGTGTACTAGTTGGGAAAGAGTTTGTTGCCCGTCGTGTTCGGTGTGTGCCCGGCCGTTCATGCTGTTGGAACGGGCAGGACCGGATGCGCCAGTTGGAAACGAGTTCCTTTTCAATCTGCAAGTTGTTTCGGTTCGCATAGGGACTGCCAGCAAATCCGATTGCGCGTCGATTGAAAATAGGGGCACGTTTACGATTTTCTCCGTGTATCCGACGCGACGCGACGCGACGGAACGGACCGGAGCGTGCGGAGCACGCCATCGGCCCGCTCACGTCACGGTTACGTCACGAACATGGCCGTCGTCACGTGGGCGGGCACGACGTCGGTAGTTCGCTCTTTTTCTGCCGCGGCACCCTTCCTTCTTTCTCCCTGCTCGGGGTGGCCCAGCGCTTCTTTCGAACTCCGAACTCGGAGGGTGCGAGAGGAGATCTTTGTCGGAACGCTTTGCGATTCTTTCCCCTCTTTCTGACAAAGTTTCTTTCTTTTTATTTTTTCTTCTTTTGTCTTCCGCGGAGTTCGATGGGATTCTCATGGGAAACGAGGGAATTTCGAGGGTATACGCGTGGCAACTGGTTTGATTATCTTGGCAAATGCAGCGCGCGTAATAAGGCGTCCAGGAATATATGAGAAACTAGCGAGGGACGTCTATTTCGACTCGCACGGCACCAGTGACTCATCATCATCCCTGCATTGTTTCGTTAAATGGAATTTCTATCTAATTTAAATGCGGCTTAGCCAGAAATAATGCGATTATGCGTTAGCTTATTCTGTTTGTTAATCTCCTTTGCACACCATTGTCACCCTGACGCCGAGCGAGGCGGAGGCAGAGCAGAGGGAGAGACACGGAGAGCCTCGATGTTCCGTGTACCTCTTCTCTCTCTCTCTCTCTCTCTTTCTCTCCTTCCTACACTTCCCTCAGCTTTGCCGTTTTGTACGGCACTGTACATTATTTCAGTACAGTCCACGGGCAGCCACTAGATCCTCTCTGGCTTATGGACTGGTCGCAGAGGTTCTCCGTTTCCGAAAGTTGCAGCTTTAATTTCTCCTTAATCGCGCCGCTCGAACTCCTGGAACCTTTCGATGAATCTTTCCTCGACATAGGGGGCGTCTCTTCCACGTCCAGGCGAGTCTTTCCGTCCTTCGTTGTCTCTTCGATTCGGAGTTGGATATTGCGCAGTTTATCGCGACAAAGAATTTTCTGTTTTTCCATCGGTTTTCAAGCGATACGTTCATCCACGGTTGCGTTACAAAAGCGTCGCAATTACAAAAGGTCCAACGTCACAGAGCGAAACAACAGGTTGGCTAGAGGCGAGGTCTCTTACACTCGAACGCAACGATCCACAGCTGTCGGTCCATTATGCGAGAAGCTTTTTGTACACGGTTTCTTGGAATCCTTAATTGCGAGAACACGAATTTGTCAATGAAAAATCTATCCGATATGTTTCGTAATAATCGTAAATCGATATCCGATACTTGATGAATAATCGAGAAACGTTGAAGCTGATTTTCGCCGTAATAAAACGAAGGTGGCAAGCTCGTTTGGAAGCAGGTATTTATCGTGCGTCGACGGGAAGAAAGTTTTCTATCTTGGTGATCTCGATTTCGAGCGTCTGGCGAAACCAGTTTTTGATCGGGCCGAGGTAAGGCCAGCCATTTCCGGTCCGTGCACCTCCCTCTGTTCGTGGTTCATATCCGGTACGGCACTTGCAACGTTTGAAACGCTCCGCTCCGCTCTGCTCTGCCCGTTCGTGTACGTCGCTGCTCCGAGATGCTTTTTTCCCCTAGCTTTGTCAGGCGTAAAATCTTAGCCGAGTCATCGTCGATGGGAGAAGAAGACGGTGGTCGTTGAAAAACAGGAGAAGAAAAAACGGGACGCGTTCGTTATGAAAGCGTTATCTCTCTTTCGGGCTTAATTAGCCGCGAGCCTGTTCATTTTTCCGCTAAAACCGTAGAGTCGCGATCGATCGTTTAAACGGCAGGCGGAGCGTAGTTTCGTAACTCGACAACTGCTTCTTCTCTTAGTTTCGATTCTCGATCATTCGCCACCGTTTCGATGCTTTATCTCAACTTGGTCGACGAAATATAAATAGTTTCTTTGATAAATTAGCTCTGCGATCCGTCGGCACCGTGTTTTTTCCTTAGGATTCTTTTGGTAAAAGCTGAAACGAGGATAGGGCAGGGAATGAGAGAGACGAGAAAGCGAAAGTACTGATCGGTGTGGTCCTTGCTGTTTGCTCCGTTTCAATTAAGACGAAAAATTCGTGGGCGATAGCGGCGCGCGCGCGTCGATCGTGAAAGCCGTCGTCGAATCGAAGCGGTTTTACGACCGATCGACGATCGATCGTTGCCGAGAAATACGACGTCGTTCGATTTCAGGAAGGTCGACGGTAATTGCCGTTGAAAACAGGGGGGAATTGAATGAAACCGATAGGGCCCCGTTACGTCGCCTCATTTCACCTGTCCGTCCGCTCGACTAACGACCGAGTCGCTCCGAGACCAGAATTTTATGCAAATCGGCTCGCAATCGCGACGCGTATGCCAACGTCCGATTTAAGAATCCGAACGACCGGCAGACCGATAGCGTCCACGATGACGATCCGTCGGGAGGTGTATATTGGTATCGCAATATCGAAAGGGAGTTAGGATGAAGGATATGAAAGTAGAGGCGAAGTGAGAGCCACTGTAGCGACGCCGAGGGCTAGGTTAAAAGCGGCAATGAATAGAATTGATATAAATGGGACGGCGACCTGGCTTCGGGTCTCGAAGCTGATTGTTTTTTCTTTCCCCTATCGTCGAATTGGCCGACAAGTGCCACTTTATTAACTGCAACCAGTACGTTTTCGATGCTGTCTAGCAAAGGAAACGCTCCTCGAGACTTTAATGGTGCACGAAATTACGCCACGAAGAAGCATCGATAAATTTCCTCTTCGTAATTATCAACCCCGCTGTCCCGTGTCGATCGAGCAGCTTTTGAAAACCGAGATAAATATCCTAACCGGGCGGACGTCACGAAACGTATGCGCACTAGGAACCGACAGAAGTCAAAAGGATTTCCGAATTTCCTCTCGTAACAGCATCACGGCTTCCGGTTGATCGTCGCTGTTCCTCTCGTAATCTATGCTTGGGATTAGCATTAGTACTTGGCCGCGTATGTGTAACCCATATGATCGCGCTTGTAGCTACATACGCGTGCGAGTCCACTCCACAATTTGCAGGCGGACGTGTACACACGCGTAAACAGATACTCCGGTAAGGAATATATTTGCCCCGCGTGCGCGCGTGAGCTCCCAGCCGAGTACACGATCGCGCGCGCGTAATTAGACACACGCACGATACCTGCACAGCAACCAGCTCGAATACCACTTAGCCGCGTGACAACGGGCTATCCGTGTGCCTGGAGCTCTACTAATAGCGCTATCCTAGGATCCAATGCTCGCCGACTGATATATCCATTCCTCGTAACCATTATCCCTCGCTTCTGTTTGCACGGATACACCTAACTGCGGGACACGCGCATTCCGTAAACCCGCGTGCACCGGCTAGTTAGTGACTCTTAACGCTCTTCCATAATCGCACCATTTCGTTTTCTCTATCTTTGCCCGACTTATATCGTCACGCGTGACTTGAAAATATCAAATCGAAAGATTCTAAAGGAAAGCTCGTCGAGGTGTACCGAATTAATCGGGTGAAAATTAATAAAGCTTATACGCCGTGAAAATTTCTTGGAAAATCACCTCGTTTGGTTCTAATTGGCCCTGTATACCGGCGCTCACCTGTGTTTAGACTCGTCTATGTTTCCCTTGACAAGATGTACACCTATATCAGCTCGCAGCTGTGTGCGAGTATGTGTGCCACGCTTACTAGTCTAACGCGAGCATAGACGTAACTTGACAGGAATGTGTGTTACGTATATAAACGGCTACACCCGCGCCCCTCTATGTATACACGTGTGCCCGGAGCCACTGTATAGACACCATATATACGTCCGATTATTAGTGTGTCACACACGCTTGATTTGGTAGCGGGCTTATAACGGCCGCCATAGCGCCGAGAGGCGCCAGCTGGATGTGTTTCGGAACGCACCCCTTCCAACCCTCTCCGCACACTCCCGGCACTATTGCTATCCCCTTCTCGTACGCGATACACGTTGACGTTGATGACAATGATGATCATGAGGCCAATGGTATTCTGTAGCGTCGAAATTTTCCGGGAAATTCGGCTATCCCTTGAACCGTAATTCTACCGGTTTATTAAGGGTGAGATTTTTCAATTTTTCCTTCCTTCTCTCTTAACACGTTGATATTTTTCGCATATCGTAAATGACTTATGTTTATTTAACCTCGAGAACGTAAGAAGTCGGCAACGGGAGGAAACTTTGCACTCTTTGTCCTCCGGTTTAATCTGCTTACATGGTAATTACGCGTCGTTAGGCGCAACGTTTCTGTCAGAGGTGCAAACAAACAACGGTTATTACTATCGATACTAGTCGCATTAGTCGAGGCGCGTACCAGCGATTTATTAACGCGGTGTAAGTAGGCGTAGCCCGTATACAGAATAGTCTATTACTATGATAGATCAGATCTGAAATCGGTCTGCGAAGGCGATTCTCTTTAACCCTCGCCTCGGGGTCAATCGTAACTCGGACGCACACGAAACGCGATGGTCCTTCGATTACAATTAGGCAGCGTTCTTTTTAAACGAGACTTTCGTGTATTGGAAAATTGAAAATGGAAGAGGGTTTAAATGAAATTTAAGTTATCGCTGTCTGAGCGGCGATCCCCCAACCCGAGGGTTAATTACGCGCGTTGAAACCCGGAAGATTTATTTCCCCGCTAACGATTCCTTTTTTTCTT